ATAAGATTTACGCATACTACACGTATATATTTGATGCTAATAATATTTTGTTTTTTTTTCTGCGAAGAAAGGAAAGGATAATATAAACGTTGTAAAAAATATAAGAGAGATTGTGAATGAAAGAAAAAGAATTGTTTAACAAGAATTGTTATTTAACAAAATTGTCGCTTTGTCTTTACAATTTTTATTTCAATATTAATTAATTCTTCGAACTTTTTTCTTCTTTCTTGGAAAAGGAGAAAAAAGATATGACGAAGTCAAGAAAGAAAGAAAGAAAGTAAGAAAATGATAACGAAATAATAGAAAAAATTTGTCAATGATCTCTATCGCGGTGTAACTATGTGAAAGATTCTTTCGTGGTATGAAAAAAATATAAAATTAATAAATATGTATTACGTGTATCATCTCCTCTTTGATCGCAGAACCGATCGCATTTGTCGTAACAAAGATAATGTTTACAAAAATATAAACAAACAAGATGTCGAGTCCGAACAATGTCGTGTGCAACGAAAAGAAAAAAGAGAAAAAAAAGATGAAAGAAAGGAGAGAAAAAGAAAGAAAGAAAGAAAGAAAGAAAGGAAGAAAGAAAGAAAGAAAGGAAGAGAGAGTAATAGAATGAAAGATATACGAGAGAATGATAGAAAGAGAGAAAGGGAGCGAGAGAGAGAGAGGGGGATGTGTGAGAGAGAAATATGATGAGATATAGTACATAAATACATAAATACATATAAACACATAAACGGTCACCGAGCGTCGCTAGGAAAAGACATGGTAGGCTATTAATTATTATCGTTAAAATAGTAGTTGCTAGATGATAGTAATGTAGTCCTACATCTTAGATTTATTTTTAAGTTCTTAATTATATATGTATATATATAAATATATATATAAATATATATTTATATATATTATCGACGATTATACATAATATTAAAAAAAAGGAAAGCAAAAAAATGAAAAAGTAAAAAAAAAAAACGACAAAAACAAGTAAAAAAAAAAAAAATAATACGACAAAACAAATAAGCAAACCCTTTAAAAAAATATCGTACCACATTACACACTGTAACACTTCTTATTATAATACTGAACTATTTACTTGTGCATATTTACATATTATGAGATAAAAAAAAAAAAAGAAAAAAAAATAAGAAATCACATCATTAAAAACATATACTACTCAATATATTCAACGTCTCGACGACTCCATTCATTGACACCCAACATCATACCATATATATATATACCTACTCTCAAAAAATTGTGACAATAATTATGACAGAATTATTGAGTAATCAAAAAGAAAGGGTGAGGGAAAAAAATTGATTTTATGATTTATTTTATATTGTGATTTGTTTTCTATTTTATAAACAAAATTATAAGATCAATTTTTTTTATTTGTTTTTTGTTTCGACTCAATTAGTTGTCATAATTATTGGCATATTTGATATATACCTCCACTCTACGCAAATATACCCCCACTCTGTTACTATATACTCTTACTTACTTATATACTTACTACCATACGTAAAAACGACATACATTTAATTTGATTTGATTAGATTTTTGATAAAGAATTTTTATTATTTTTTTTATTTTTTTTGTCCTCGTTGCTCGCCGTTTCACACGATGAACATATTTTTATACTTTTTTTTGGCACTCTTTTCTTATTTTAATTGCTTTTTTTTATTATATGCACGTAATCAAGGCACCTTTATCGAGTCTTCTTCGTGTAAATAAAAGTAAATACGAATTGTGCCGTATAAAAATAAATGGACGCGCTTTGAAATCGATCGTTAGTGTTGAAATATCAAATTCTAAAGATAATAATTTAACACGTTGATCGCCATGTAACCCAAATCTGGATTGGATTGATACCACGTAACCCGAAATTCGAATGAAGCTTTTTTTCCATCAAGTTTAAATAGATTTTTTCAAGTAATTTGTATAAATTTGATTTCTAAAATAATATTTTATGTTCCTAACGAATGTACAAATGCATTTACGAGTAAAATAATATAAAAGTGTCGAGTTAAATCGTAAATTAAACAGATGTGACAATTTTTAGATTTTCATTTAAATGTTGAAATTTTGAATCGTGCAGCTAGTAGATTTTATGATGATTGTTTATTTATATTTTAACGAGAATTTTTGTTATTAACTTTTTCCTGAACAAAAGTGGTAAAGTGCGCGAATCTAAAAAAAAAAAAGTAAAAAAAAAGAAAATGTTTTTTGAAAAAGTACTCGACAACATTAATATTGCCAGTTTTTTTTTTAAAACGTTTATAATGTTAGGACAATAAAAGTTCAATTGTTAAAAAAAAAAAAACAGAAAAAATTTAAGATTACTAAAAGTAAAGAAAAAAGATAAATAAAAATAAAGATGTGGCAGAATTTTAGATTATTTTGTTACATGAATTTATTCTATGGTAAATAATGACATTTTAAAATAAAAAATAAAATTGCAAAGAATAAAAATTTGATATCAAAAAGAAAAAAATGCATATCAGGAAAAAATATTTCCATTTAAATTAATTCGATTTAAAATGTATTAAACAAACAGTATAAGAGTATAAGTGCATGTGCATTACTATTGCGATACGCATTTTTTGATAGCAACATAAAATTTAGGTTCCAGAAACAAGGTTGATCTATGGGTGGCGATAAACGTGTTAAAAAGTTTGTAGATAATGTATATATATTACTTTTTTATTTCCTTATATTTTAGAGTGTTCTAAGATGGTATTATTACGACGTTAAATATTTTATTTAAGGTCGGAGATATATAAGATGAAAGTTACCGTAACAAAAAAAGAAAATAATAAATAAACAAAAATATCGCGCGGGAAGAAATTTCTCTCAAGATAGTTCCTTCCTTTGCAGCCTATATATTTATTTTCACGGATATGTATCTACAAATATATAAATAATATATACGTATATATATGTATACAGTGAGTCATAGGAATTTTCGTATAACGTATAAATAATCAATATTTTCTTGTAATACAATTTGTCCAATTTTATATACACAGAAACATATTTTAAAATTATTAGAATTTTTAAATGATGTAAATTTTATTACAAAAGAGTATCTTAATTTAAAACAAGTAAAATTTTACGTAACTTATAAGAAAATTAGTATAATAAAATATACTCATTTATCTGAAAAGTATTATGAGATACAAAGGAGGATAAACCAAGTATTATCTACAAAAATAATAATTGTATTTTTATTATATCTTGTGTAGATGTAAATAATCTTATGAAACTAATTTTTGATCATTTAAGTACAATTATATTGTTTTATATATATATATATATAATTCCCTAGAATAGAGGTTTCTGTGTATAATAATTTAAAAGTTTTGCATTACAAGCAAATATCAAGTATTTAAAATTCACAGTGAATAAGAATATTACTGTGACTCACTGTATATATCATAAGTATTACGAATTTTTATCACGACAAATGCCATGCATGCTTCGTGGATTTTTGTTTGTTTTTTGTATGAACGCCAGCATGTACACGTAATTATCTCGACACTGCATATACGTTACAAGAAAAGGCCAAATAAAACAAAAAGACAGAAAAAAAATTCAGTTACAGTTTACACTCGAATTATGAATGATATATAAAAATGTGGAAAGAGAGAGAGGGAGAGAGAGTGAGAGAGAGAGAGAGAGAGAGATATTTGAAAAATAAAATATTTTTTGACGAAGATAAGAGAGTGCCATGAACAAAGCTAATCCCTTTAACTTTTAATAACCTCGGTCGATGAACAATTTTATTTGTTTTTTTTTTTTTTTAATTAATTAATTTCTTTATTTCAGTTATTGACGATGATAAAATTAATAATATTAATAATATATTATAGATAGAAAGGTGAATATATATTTTTGAGAAATGATATATGATTTAGTAAATCGAGAAGACATCATGTTTTTTATTTAATATTCTTTAACTGTAAAATATTATTTAATTGTTACTGTGATCGCGTTTATTTATTTATTTTTTTTTATAAAAATGTAATAATTATAATAACAAATTAGATATTTGAAATATTTTCTTTGGTTTAGTAAATTTAATAGACATGATTTGATTTTGTTTAAATTCGGTAATTTTTCGATAATAAAAATTTATTTTAACGAATAAAACGTGTATTTTATAATAATATTAATAGTATATTGTGTATTATAAAAAGGAAAGGAATGTACAAGAGCATCGAGAGGCAGTGAGTAAATGAAAAAGTGGCGTAAGTAATATATTTTCATATTTACAAGAAAAGTAGGTTAGTAGTAGTAATAATTGTCGAGATTTCCACGCACGTGGACGGTAAATATTTATACGCATATACACTTGCAAACTTACATACACATACACACAATAAACATACACGCAGATGTTGCATCTTGTATAGTGCTTTCAGCATGTAAAAATATAAACTGATACGTTCATCGTGTTACGTGAACGTTAATTAGTACAATCCACACGCGGAAGAGCTTTGGAAAAAAAGAGAAAAGCTCTTTTAACTTTAAAGAGCGTTAGGGTTTATACACTTTCGCGCTCTTTTTTCAAAAATTTACTCCTTTACGTTTGTCCAATAAAAAACAGTCATCTCTTTTAAGGAGAGGTTAACAAATTCGGAATTTTTCAAGATATTTAATTTAATATTTCAATGGGAAGATAATCATACTTTTACTTCTCTGTTGTATAAATTTTAAATAAAATTAATTAAAATAAAATAACAATTTAACTTTCATGCTTAAATACATAAAAACATTGTCTTATATTTATGATCGATTTTGAGTTCTTTTGTTTTGTAAAAATTATAATCTGATTATTTAAATATAAATAATGTGACGAAATTATGTCCTAAAAATTTCGGAATCGATTATTCTTACGTAAAAAATAAAAACAGAATCCTGAACAGTTCATTTTATTAGATATAAAAATACGAAATATAATTTTAGGTTAGTGTATTCCAATTACGTTTATTTTATTTACTAAAAAGAAATGCGAGATATTAATAATTAGACTTTCAAATTGTACAACCACTTCTGGTAAATTTTTTGTTTAATTGAATATCTTTAAAGCATCCACTAATATATGAATATTCACAACCATAAGTAGGAACATATTCAGAATTTAATGTTACGACAAAATAGAGTCTGCATTTAGACAGAAAGTGGACATTTTAAACATATTATTCTTAAAAATTTCAATAAATAATATCACCATTCCAGTAAATAAAACAATTATAATTAGAGTACATCAAAATCATACTAAAAATTCTTCTGTCACAGAAACAAGTGAGGGTTTTCCCATATTCATATCGTATAAACCAATTGTTTTTTTTCTAACTACGTACAAAGAATCCCATTCTAGAATTCTTGTCGAGTATTTTTGTAACACCTTGTACAAATTGATCGTTTAAAAAATGATTGAAAAATCTCCGAATTATATTTAGCAAGGTCTCCTTCCTTGTAAAAAGGACAATTTCGAATGATAAAGTCACTTATCATTCTTACCAAATCGTGATCATAGTCTTGTGAAAAAACTAATGTGAATACCGTTTAGTCGATTCTTTTTCAAAGAACGAATAAAAGAACGAACGGATGTTCACGAAGGAGGAAGAAAAGACAGGAAGGTTAATCGATAGTTCAACGTGCTCTTTCGATTCCTCTCAATGATTGACTGGGTACTCCAGGTGGTAATCCAGATCCTTCACCAGTTCTTGCTTCAGGATCACCATTTGCTGCTTCTGAAGCTTTATATCTTTTGTACTTTCCTAACAAAAGAAAAAGATAAGATTATAATACTGTTAATTTATATGGTTATATGGGATAAAATAGAAAGGATTACTTCAATAATTTCGGATATATTTAACATGAGGTACAGAACACGTGTTACATCGTAGAAACGTAGAAGAACAATGACAAAAGAATAGCGCAAAAAACAGGGTTATCAACTTAACTTTCAAAACAAAAAGAAAATAACTGAATAAGAATAATACGAACCTAATAAGCCTAATTAAACTATTATATCTTTGGTCTTTAACATTAATCTAATTTAACAATACAGTCTCAGATAACTATAATATAAATTAAATTAACATTATTTAACATTCCCCCTGTTTAATTAATTTATCTTATTCAATATTTTAATCAGAACTCTTGACATATCATATTTCTTAAATATATAAATTTCGGTCGTGGCAATACTTTGGTTAGTTCCCCCCAATCGATCCTTTGTGTTGACATGCTTCAAATCAAATGTTCCTTCCATATATTTTTCACGTACATAATGATACTTGATATCAATATGTTTTGTCCTGTTGTGCATCACTGGATTTTTTATTATTTGAATGCAGCTTTGATTATCTATGTGGAGTGGCGTTTGTAGCTTATTCTCTTTATAGAGTTCTTCTAATAGTTTTCTAATCCATACTATTTCTCTTGATGTCTGGCATGCTGCTGTAAATTCTGCATCTGAAGTAGATAATGCAACGATAAACTGCTTTTGAGAGATCCATGATACTGTACTCGTACCAAGTTGTATTATATATCCTGTAGTATATCTCCTAGTTTCACTATCCGCTGCAAAATCTGCATCACTGTATGTTTGAATATGTAAGTCTTTTCCTCTTTTTAATTCTAATCCTATATTAATTGTACCTTTTAAATACTTAATGATTCTTTTTACACAGTTCCAGTGCGCTCTTGTTGATTTTTCCATATATCTGCTTGCTCTAATCACTGCATAAATTATATCTGAGATAGATACATGAGGCTTCCTATAGCCTCCCTGTAAGGTGCCTGTGTATATGTTTCTCCATCGACTAATGATACATCTGCATTTAAATTTTGCTTGCCATCAGCTGGTACAGAAACCGTTTGTGCTTCTTCAAGTCTGAATCTCTCTATGATTCTTCGAGTGTACGCAGCCTGATGAATAAGAATTGATCCATCACTCCTACGATCAATTTGTATTCCAAGGTACGTGTTGGCATCTGATACCGTGATCTCAAATTCATTCCTTAGATGTTTTATAAATTGATCAGCTGTTCTTGAATCTTCTGTTGCTATGGTCCATCAACTACATGTAATGACAAGATCAACTTCTTACCCTTGATGCTTGTAAATATACATGGATCTGCTGCCGTTGCTTTAAGTCCATATTTATCTACAGATTTAGTAAACTTTTCATTCCAATATCTAGAACTTTGTTTTAAACCATATAATGTTTTCTTTAATTTGCATATTCTGTTTGAACCATCATCAAAACTTTCAGGTTGTTGCATATATATCTTGATCTAAATTTGCATATAAAAAGGCTGTCTTAACGTCGAATTGTTTAGAAACCATACTCTCTTGTGCAGCAATATCAAGCATAATTCTACTATTAGAATTAACTCTATAGGTGAACCTGACTACTGGACTAAATACTTATCGTAGTTTACACCTTTTTGTTGTGCACAACCTTTTATCACTAGACGAGCTTTATATCTGTTTATATTACCATTTACATCTTTTTTAATTTTATAAACCCAGAGATTATTCAAAATTTTGACATGTTTCTTTGAAATATCTACCAATTCCCAAACTTCATTTTTGTTTAATGAGTCAATTTCCTCGGACATAGCTTTCTTCCATTCCGATGCTTCTTGACTTCTCATTGCATTCGTGAATGTAACCGGTTTTTCTGATGCTGCAATGAGCAATTCTTCTATATTTACAAAATCCTGGTACCTCTTTGGTCGTTGTAAATTTTCCCTATACTTAGTTGCCTAGTATTTTCAATTTTAAATTTTATCTTTTCTTGTTCCTCTTCAATATATCTTCTTCAAGTTGTACATCTTCTGGTCCTTTTCTTTCCCCAACATCTTGTTCATCTTCACTATTATTATTTACAGATCCATTGACATCATAGTTATCTAATTCAGGTAAGTGAACTTCTTGGTCATCGTGTTCAATAGAGTCTTTGTATATTCCAGGTAAATTTACTAATTGGTCATCTTTTTCTTTTGGGTTATTATATATCCTACCAGTAAACTTTACATTTATCTATATCTTAACTTTATTCGTTTCAGGATACCATACTCGATAACCCTTTACATTATCTCAATAACCAATGAATACTCCATGTTCTCCTTTACAACTAAGTTTTTTTCTTTTGATATCTGGTACGTATGTATATACTTCCTCTCCAAAAATATGAAATTGCTGAATTTCTGGTTTCTTACCATACCATAATTCGTATGGATTCATACCTTTCACTGAACTGTTTTCGGTAAGATTCAATACATAGACTGTAGTATTTGCAGCTTCTGCCCATAGTTCTTGTTTAAAATTACCAGACAATAGCAGTGTCCTCATTCCTTTGACTACAGTCCTGTTTTGTCATTCTGCTGAGCCATTTTGCTCTGGGAAATAGGCCACTGAACGCTGATGTTCTACTCCATGTTTCATAAGAATCCCTGCCACATTCTTATTAATAAATTCCAATCCATTGTCCGATCTAAACGTCTTTATTCCACCAGGACAATGTTTATTTGCCTTCAGAAGGAAATTCCTGATGTAATCTGTTGCATCTGACTTAACTATCAAAAAATAAATAAAACAAAAATGTAAGTAATCATCTTTTAATAGTAGCAATTACCTGAAACCTTTTAGAGATTTTGTGGGATAAGGCCCACACACGTCTCCATGTATCAATTCCCCAATTTGATGAGTTTTTGAATCATTTTGCTAAAATGGTAGACGATGCAACTTTCCTTTTGCGCAGTCATGGCAGAAAGGCTCTTCTTTATCTTTAACTTCTATATTGGAAGCTTTTAGTATATTCTTCACTTTAGCATAATTTTGATGTGCCAGTTTGCGATGTCAAGTTTCCAAAGAATCCGTAGTCATAATGTTGGCCTGTGTTATATCATTTTTTATAAATTCTTCATGTGGCATTATCACCTCAAATTTCATGGTGAATAGTCTGTCTGTTCGTTCACCCATTGCTACTACTGTCTTACCCCTAAAGAATGCACATATACTATTGTCTGATATTAGTTTTAATCCCTTATTCAAAGCTGCTCCTGAAGCAAAAAGATTATACTTTAATTTGGGAACGTATAGTACATTTGATAGATGACTTTTAACCCAGGATGATCCATTGTATGCTCGTATATTAATGCTTCCTTTGTCTACTCCTTGCAAGAAATTTCCATCTCCAATGCGTATCATTTGTTCTGATCTGAGGGTCTCATATTCAACAAACCAATCCTTATTGTGAGTCGTGTGTTCTGTTGCTCCCGAAACCATGTACCATGTATCCACTATCTGATTTGTTTGCTGTAATGCATGTATCCTAGTTTCCGATTGTTTTTCGTAAACCGCAATAAGTTTATCCCACATGCTTTTAGAATTATCACAGTTAATGATATGCATCACACCCTGTTCAGAAATGGTAGTAGCAATTATCTTTTGCGCGATAGCATCTGCTTTGTACCATGCGGCTTTGTTCTTCTCATAATCTCTTTTGGCTTCTGCGCTTGCATTTGCATCCAAAGCTTCTGATGCCTCTTTACCTTTTACAATATCCCAGCGATCACATGACTTTAGCAAAATTGTCACATGGAATTTCCAGAGATTCCAATTATCAATACCTTCTAATTTTTTTATCCTTGCAAATTCATGCTCCATATTTGCGACCTATGAGGCTATCTTTCTCTTTTGCACTAAGGCTGGAATTTCCTCAAAGCACACAAAAAAAAACAAAAATCTTCAAGCGCACAGTGGGCCTATAACCTGTTAATTTATGTGGTTATATGGGATAAAATAGAAAGGATTACTTCAATAATTTCGGATATATTTAACATGAGGTACAGAACACGTGTTACATCGTAGAAACGTAGAAGAACAATGACAAAAGAATAGCGCAAAAAACAGGATTATCAACTTAACTTTTAAAACAAAAAGAAAATAACTGAATAAGAATAATACGAACCTAATAAGCTTAATTAAACTATTATATTTTTAGTCTTTAAAATTAATCTAATTTAACAATACAGTCTCAGATAACTATAATATAAATTAAATTAACATTTTTTAACAAATACATTTTTAATTATTAAAGTATCGAGTGTGCCAAATTAATTTGATTATTTTTATTTTCAACCTTTTAGGCATTACACGCCACTATAGCGGCTTTCGCGGACGCTATCTACCAGTACGACGCGCCACTATAGTGGCCTTCATAACATCTTTGAAAATATATTATACCTAATTTTATTATTAATTATTAAAATAATTTGTTTAAGTTAAAATATATGTGTATCATTTCTTTGAGAAAAATTATAATTTAATCATGAAAAACTTCATTAAAATGTACTTGCTTAGAGAACAGCCATTATTCGTCATACATCGTAGTTTTATCGTTTACACGTAATTCTCGTTGAACCCTGCCGTCACGGAGCTTAGATAGAAAAAGCACGCTCGCTATAGACAATTTGTCATAAATTGTGTCCTCTAGAAAAGTTACAAAATACCAATACTTATTTCTGTTATTAGGGCGGCATGGTGATCACCTTGATCTTAGTGATGTCACAGAAAACCGTTCAGCATTGCGTATTTGTAAACATACATGTGGATAAATATTTTTTAACAGTGCTCAAAATTTGTATGTTTTTCAAGAAATAAAAATAGTATTGTTAAAAATGGTGAACAAGTGTGCTATAAAAAATTGTTTTAGTGGCTCTTCAGCTGAAAGGAAATTAAAATCGGAGTTAAATCAACGACAAACAACTTTATAACCAATATAAAATATATAACATTATTTAAAATTTTTCTCCCTTCATTAGTTTGCTTGTTTGCCAAATTTTAAATAAATAATTTAATAAGCAATAATTACATAAATCTGTTTATAATTTCAGGTATGTGCAAATGATTTTATTTAATATTGTTGAGCGCTTAATTTAAAAAATGGATTCAAGTAGCTACAGCGCACCCTGGAATAAAACTTTATTTGTTCTATATTTTGGGGACGCTTTTACACATAGTGAGCGTGCTCAGTGATCTCATTCGTACGATAATTTGAGGCTCTGTATGATCCAAAATTCGTGGTGTACGATCCATTTGGAATTTCGAAAACTTGATGACCTTTTTTTTAGTCAACAAATTTTGGAAAGGTGCAGCACCACCCCTACCACCCCACCACCACCATGATCCGTGTACGATCCGTGTACGATTCGTGTACGATCTCTGTAGGAACAAGTCTATCTCCCTGCGGGCCGCCGTTTTTATCGTTTTTATGATAGGGTTTTGAAGTTGATGATTTGGACACTTTTTCTACATTTTGAAAATCTCGCCCGAGAAATTGTCGGATTTCAAATTTTCCCGGGGCGTACGATAATTTTCCGGCGCGTACGATAATTTTACGCCCCTGTGTCGATCAGACGAACTAAAGTCTCTGGGATCACTGAGCGTGCTCCTTCTATCTAAGCTCCGTGGGTTAAACGATCATAACTTCCGTTTTAACTCGAATTTCTTACCTAACCTAAAAACCATTTATAGAAACGCATTTTCTTTAGCATTTTTTGTACGTGTTAGAGATCTATCAAATTAATGGCGTGTCAGAAGTATCATTTTCATCATTGTACATTAAATAAAAAAAATTGTCCTTTAAAGTTATCGAAATGATTTATGCAATATTAGAAAAAGATGTCGAATTTATTAATATAAAAATGATTTTAATATAAATTAACTTACTTGCCAAACGAATCATCGTAAGACCCCACCAAACGCTCCAACCCCATCCAACGAGACAAAATAGAACTGTGAATAATTGGCTGACTCCTACTATCAGATTAACAATAAATGCACCGAATCTTGCCTTGACACTAGCCACGGCTGAAAATCTTGGTTGTCCTGTGCAAAAATTAAAAAGTCCGCTCCAAACAGTACCTAAAAAAAATTCAAAGAAAAATTGAAAGAAAAACATAAATTGTTACATTTTCTGTTTATTTCTTACCTGTACCAGGTAATAAGACGTTCCAAACAAGACAAAACCAAGCTAGTGGAACTGGTAAACAAGGAATGGCACCTCGCATCAATGAGTTGTGCTCTACCAAAACGTCAGGTATCTTGGCCTTTGGTTCCTATAATCAATCAAAATAATAAACGTACATTTTTTTAAAGAGAAAATTATTGTATCGTTGATATACTATTTCGATGTTATATTTTAAATATTTGTGCAAAAAGCAATATTTTTTGTAAAATTTCGTTATCAACTTTTTAACTGTGTTTGACGATTATACTCGACATAATTTTATTTTAGCGGCATAATTATAAATATACACTAATTAGATTTTATTTCAAATTTAAACACACGTATTAAATATAATATAATTAATATTATATTAATATTAATTTATTAATATATGTATTAATTTAATATAATAATTAAATATATGTTAAGATCTATCAAAAAAAAAATTATATTTAATTTTTTATTAAATATTTAATCATTAAACTATAATAAATAAAGAATAATAATTGTATATTTTTGTGTACAAATAAAAGTAATATTATTTAAAAGAAGTAGGGCCACAAAAAATTTTTTTTCGATAGATACCAATGTTAGCGAATTATGATTGTATTTTTGTTAAGGTTGAAAAAAAAGGTTGTTACCTCGGAAAGTGGAGGTGGTGCTACGCTAGTCAAACTGTGCTTGGCACGTATATCTCTTGTGCGTTGTACATCCGCACTTTTGCATTTACAGCTGGCAAAAAGTCGTCGGCAAAGGGCGGATAATCTTCTCTCAGGAGGGCAACAGAGATTAGGCTCGTCCGGTGCTACTCTGTCTCTTCTTGTACAACATCTAATTCCCTTGGGACGTGGACATCTTGGAGGGGTAAAAAAAGAAAGTAAATTATACATTCAAAATTATGGATTGAATTTTAAAATGAAAATTCGAATAATCCCAATTCTTATTCGAAACATGGAATGAATAACAAACATGTGTTGTTCAACAACAAACAATGAATTGTTTAATTTGTTTTTTTCTTTTCAAATCATTCTTTTAAATCATTTCATTTTTAATCATTCTAGAATTATTTTAATCATTTAAAAACTGTAATTGGAAAAATAACAAAATTAATCTCCAGTTACCTGCATCTTTTCTTGAATTTGGACCAACAATCGATCGGTGTATCGTCAGCAATGTCCTGTCTCGTTTCCATTTGATTTTCCATACCAACGGTTTCTCTTTTTCTGGACCACGATAGGATCTTTGAATTACGACGACAAGCTAGACACCTCATACTGGGAAAACGTTCGTAATAACGGCCCAAGGTCTTTCTCCATCGACTTAAGGGCTTGTCGACACTTGGTCTATCTTCCTCCAAGGTAGTTTCACCTGCTGTCTGCAACGCCCTGCGCAACATAAAAATAAAAAGGTGTGCCTATCAAGCTTTTAAAATTATTAAGGACCCTCAAACCAGCTCGTTAATTTGACTCAAGGATGGGTTAACATATGGAAGTCTACTAAATTGGTGTTTCCTACCTAACTCAAGATTTGATACATATATATATTCATAATTAACGTGAACTATGTCTGAGAGTATCTTTTGCCTTACGGCACATTCCTTCAGGGACCCTTGAAAAAGGCGACACTAGATCTTTTCAAATAGTCTTCATTTGTTCGTTTGAAAGATAATGTAGCCGGTTTAAAAAATGTTTCGACTAAATTGTGCGGAACTTGAAAAACCAAACATGTTATTTGATATTGAGTTATATTTTATTTTGTATTTTTTTAAATGTAATATCTATAAATAAAATAATTCGTAAAATAAAAATAACAATATTACAAGTTAATTGCATTGCGTTAAATAAATTTCTTATCATTTCGAAATAAATTACCGCATAAACTAGATTATTATAACACTAGACATATTTGACGCATTAATTTAAATAATGAAATCACGATGTTTATTATTTTATTTTAATACGTAAACACTGAAATTATAATGATGCACAAAGTTGCAAATTATGGTAATAGAATTGTTTGAGTAAAAGTAAGTGAAAAACCGATCGAAGGAGGAACACTCACGAGGAACGAAAATCGATTTGAATTTCTCGAGGGTAATCAGTTTGGAGTTTTGTCGTACGGTGACCGTTGAAAATAAGTGGGCACCCGGTGACCATCTTCGCAATCGTCGAACGACTCGCAAATTGCGGCTACCGCAGTACTCCTTGGAAGTTTGTAAAAGTCGCGATCATTGGAGGAAGGATTCGAGGACGATGGATGAAGGACGTGGGAGGAGTGGTTGATAGGTATTACTAGTGGTGGTGGTTGTTATTGTCGTGGTGGTGGTTGTGGTGGTGGTGGTAGCAATGCTGGCCAAGCCTAACAACAGTCACGCGATCATTTTCGACCGGCATCCCCTTAAGCCACACCATTTTAGTCTTAAACGTCTGGAGTAGCCACTACTAGCTTGACCACAGACTGAAAGATCGATAATACTGTACTGTTTAAGTTACTCATGCTGTTCTTACAGTACCTTGCACTTTGAGTTTTACTTTCTTACGAAACTTTGACTTAACTTCGATCATCTTTTATTTTCTCGATCGATTTTAATCAAATTTAGCTTTCCATCATTTTCTTATACATATAGTCGATTAAACTTTCTAAGAATATTGAGGATAATTTACTTTCTAAGGTTTATCGATAATTAAACGCGTATCGAATACGTTTTAAAAGTATATATTATTTATTCCTAGCGTAAAACTTTAAAGGGAAATTTTTTTTTATATTTTAATAAATTACGGTTAATATCTGTTCTTATTATATCGATTTTAAGATGATTAATTTTTCTAAGAATTTGTAGGTTTTATTTTTCCCAAGGTTTTTTGTAGTATCGATAATTGTACGTCATCTAATACCAGGAATATGTTTTCAAAGTAAATAGAATTCAATTAGTTTGTAATAAAATGTTTAGAAAATTAATAAAATTCGCCATGTAAAACTTAGTGGGAACTTTGATTTCTTTATCTTTTCAGAAACTTCATTAATATCTGTACTTATTATTGATTTTAAGCTGATTAATATTTTCTAAGAATATTTTAATATTTTATTTTTCAAGGTTCCTTGGGGTATCAATAACTATCATTAGGAATGAAGTATATATATATATATTTCAAAAACAAAAATAATTGTTACTCACACCAAATTTAGAAGTTCCTTTGATTTCTTCATTTTTTCATAAATTTAATTACATACTTGTTCTTATTATCGATTTTGCCGATTAATTTTCTGAGAATCTAAATATTACTTTTCAAGGTTCCTCAGAATATTGATATTTAACTGTATACATTCGTTACTAAGAATATTTTTTTAAAGTAAATATAATTGCTCTATGATCTCTGTTTTTTTTTTTATATATCTCAGTTCGTGTTATTTTTTATTATGAATTATAAGAAGATTAATTTTCTAAGAATCTCGGAATAATTTGTTAATGTTTTTTGATTACATTGCTCAACACGAAAAACTGCGGATTCCTTTTAAATACTTTATCTTTTAATAAACTGAAAGAAATATTTTGTAATATTATTGATTTTAAACAGAGATTGATTTTTTTTAAATGATAGAATTACTTTCCAAGGTTTCTTGGGGTATAAATAATTATCATTGGAAATCAAGAATATAGTTTTAAATTAAATAGAAATTATTTATCGTACAAAACTGAAACACTCCTTAAATTTCTTCATCTTTCGATCAATCTCAACTAATGTCTGTAAATTTAATTATTCTTCGAATAAAACTGAAGATTTTTCTTTTTAAATTTAACACACTTTCTAATCAATTTTCATGATCTAAGCTTACTTTTGTTTACAATTAACGGATAAATTGAATAAAAACTTATAAAATACTTTTTTACTTCCCTTCATAGAATGAGTCTCGTTATCGATAAAAACCATGAGATGTTCTATCGATAATATGTTTTTAAAGTAAACGTAATCATTGAGAAGTTTAATGAAGCGATTGGTAGTAAAGTTTCTTAGCAAAGTTTTTAGATAAATCATAAGACGCTACTTGAAAATTGCGAAAAGTCTTAAAGGAAGCACGCGGAGAGTTAATCGATAGGGCGTGACCCTGGAGAAATACGATGACGATGAAAGGTACAGACCATAGAGAGGATATGTAAAAATAGAAACAAAGCAGGCCTGAGATAACATTTCTTTCAGATTACCATACACATACACACACATACACATATACACTTATCTGATATTTAAATGCTTTTTACTTCTTCGATCTCATAAAAATTCTTTAAAAATTTGGTAAGCACAGGAAGAGATAAAAACGAATAACTATGATGATTGTTGTAAAAAGAAAATCTAATTTTAAAGACGAATCAAATTTATATCTCATGTTTTTACTGAATATATGAGCCGTTTATTTTAAAAGTGGCTTAACTCCATTTATGTTCGAATCGAGATATTGAAGGGTTTGCTTTTCGAAGCAATTAAAAATATACCTAAATACTAACGAGTCATACTGCTTAAGTGTATCTAAGAGTGTTAAATTTATAGTTCCTATTAAAATAGTGGCAATTATATGCGTTTTCTTACCACGAATGGAGTTAAGCCACTTTCAAAATTAACAACCAGATTTATTATAAAATTTCGAAGGGGCCTAAGTCCATTCAACATAATTTAAGATGCTYCAAATTGAAAAAAAATAATACTCAATTTGTTTTACATATATTTAAAACACTTCAGAAACATAGTTTATGCGATTCCAAATATTTTTTAACTATATAACTTACAAAATTACAAACATAACCTACAAAACAATTTACTATTTTGTGTGTGTGAAAGGTTTTTGAAGAAATCATGATATTCCGGTGGTATATATCGTAATAGGTCAATTATGTTCTTGAATTTTGCTGTTTTAATTTGTCTGATATTTTTATATGATGATTTCAATACAATATTTTCGAAATTTCTTGGTCTACCCCGACGTGGTAACAAATTCAATACTTTCAAATTTTCATTCTCATTTATTGATGTCTTATAGAAAATTTGATACAGTTTATTTCTGATAAAACGCATCCAACATATTTTTAACCAGTTTATTGACTCTTCATTAGAATTCTTTACCCTTTTAAAAATTGCGTCTTCTAATAATTTTGTTAATACAAAATCTTTTTGTCTCATTTTATTTACAATAAAGTATTAGCATATTTACTCGGAATATAAGCAATCTCAAATGCTTTATTAATACATAACATGAAGTTGTATAATAACCAGGTGTAATCGGAAAATAATAATTGACAAATGGAGTTGGGCCACTTTCAAAATAAACTTTTCCTCATTCTATTAATCAATAAATTTTCTTGTTACAAAATCTTCATGATTTTAAATATAATAGTAACAAATTGCTTCAGAATAAAAAAATCATGTAAAAATGTAACTATTACGGTAATTAACTCGATTTTTTTGGAAAACAGAGTTAGGCCACTTCCAAAATAAACGGCTCACATGCATATATATATTATATATATAATATATATTATAAATATAGATAATATACTATATTATATTAATATACTATCTATAGTATATAGTATATAGTATAATATAGTATCTATAGTATATATATATTTAATATCGATATTTAATATCGATATATAATATAGATATATAATATAAAGGAGATATCAATATTTAAATTATTTTTAAGATGTTCGACTATTTTTAGTAAGTACTTATCTTTGGATTGTGTTTTATCATCCTTGTGATAACTCATCCAGTGTACTGATTAATTTTTTGTGGATGGCCATTTATTGAGTTTTTTTTGCAGTTTCTTTCTTAATCTATGCCTATCAATGATACTTTGTAAAGTAGATCGAAGTCTGTTTATAATTCGCGATATTTCTAATAAACTTTTACACTGATTATGTGTAAATTAATATTAATTTTTCTTTCTTCTATCGT